ATATTTGTCAACAAAAAATTAAATAAAAAAAACATTAAAGAAAACTGCATAAATAATTATTTTATTACATCCAATATAGTAGTCGCAAATAGTTATTATAAATTTGTTTCAACCACATTAGCATAGTAAAATTTACTAATATAGATCGTTAATACAACTCATTGTATGATTAAACTAACTTTTTTAATATACAATATTACAACTATGTAAGTATACTAGATGGAACTATAAATGATAATTAGAATATCATTGTTAATATAAGCATACTATAAACATTTGGTTTCTTGAACTTTTAATTATGATTGTTGTTACAATATTATATAGTACAATTTACTGTATACAAATTTTATTTAAGTGTAAGATAACCATATAAAATAGTTTCATCAACACATATTATAATTGTGATAACTATAATGCATTGTTAAAGCAACTGCAATTTATATGGTTAAATTGATTTTATAGCTGTCCCCGAAATTCAATGTAAATTATAGTTAAATTATGGTTATTCCAACTATATTTTCTCTCGGTGTAGAATATGATAATATAAACACACAATTTGACGTGATAGATTTACCTACAATTTATTTAATAGTAAGTTTCTACATTGAAATCGAAGGAAATATTTAATACAGAACGATAGAATACTGATATAATAAATAGAAAAAAATGTTGACTTACAATAGAACATGATAGAATGATATGCTATTTTTTATTTAATTAGTATATTAAAAACAAAAAATAAGAAGTATATTAATAACGAAAAATAGAAAATTAATAGGAATACAGTGGAAGTACATAAAAATTATGATATAATTAATATAATATCTGTTTATTTCTTATTTCATAGCTTTAATATATAAATTGTTGATAGCATGGCAAAGTTCTATTTTAAACGTTATTAATAAACTGAAATCATATTCGTAAAATTCTCATAAAATATGATATAACAATTACTTGTAATAGGCTTTTATAAGTTATTTCCTTATAGGTTTTTAAGAGGATGCTGAAAGGTCGGCCAAATTTGTACAAGGTCGATAAAACAGACTCTTCAGTGTCAGTGGTATCTCTAAATGAACTTTTTACAATATCTTCTGGTCT